GTTTTCTCGCCTTGTCTTAAAGGTAATTCTTAAAAGTTTCACCTATGCAATTAAGTGCTGGCATACCCACCTTCCTTTCAGTATAATGAAGATGGATTTATGTGTCTCGGCTAATAATATGGATTGGTACTGTTTGGCAATCCTATCTTACTTATTGGGCAGTCTTATTCTCTTGGTCGCCCTTGGGGCCTGTTCCTTATAGTTACGTTCTCTACTTCGTTCATTCCCTACCCACTGTTTTAATGTGCATGTCTCTAGATCCCAGACAACAAAAGACAGAGATTACCTTCATTCAGTGTGGTTCTGGGTTCAGCATGACTAAGCTATGCTGTATTCAGACAGCCTCCCTGATTCACCTCCTTTCTACAGGTGAGATACAGGAATTAAAGATACAAAATCTGTACATGGGGGAGCGTATCATCAATTTCCTGTCACATAGTAATTTTAAAAATGTACTATTTCCTATGCCCTCCCCCCAAAACAGGGGAAGTAGCCTATACAGACATGCTCTTGGCTCATTGAAACAGAGAATGATAATTCAGTGGCATTAAAAAAGGTTTATATTCTTTAACAAGTGTCATCCTGTGAAAACTACAGAGCTGAATAAACTAAAAAATGTAAATACAGCATTTTCCTATGGAGATTGCATATTTTTTAAAAAATCAGTACATCCTAACTGAAACGTCTCTAGATGCATACCTTGTGTTTTTTTTAAAAAACTGCAGTCCTGTGTATGCATATTTGGGAGTAAACCCCATTGTATTCATTTGGCTTAACACTTCAAACTTACATATAAGTTGTCTCATATCAAACTAAGCTGAAATGCTTTCAGGTTTTCCTCTTGCATAATCATAACAGTAAGTGTCAAATTTCAAGTACTTGGAAGTAATATTGCTGAATGTGGATGTACAATGATTTATTTTTTCCTGTTCTGGAGCTGTATCCAAAGCACAATCATGGACACCTTTGGATACAAAAATGTGTTCTCGACTTGTTGGAGAGACCGTAGAACAGAAAACAATGAATGCATGTATACACTGGGAAAGATTGTTCTCTCATACCACTTAAAAGTCTCTGAAGCTGAGCAGTCTAATTTTTATAGCATTGAATTTTTCCCTTTTAAAAAAAAAGATGGCATGCTTAATAAAGAAATGGTTTAGTATTTAGTGATATTAGTAATGTTAGCATCTTGATGAATATATTAAAATAGCTGTACTTAGCAGTTCATACAGATAATTTTAAGAGGTTGTGAGGAGGATCTTGCTAGCTTGCAAGCAGCAGCTGAGTAAGATCTGGGCTGAGTGTGTTTCTCCTGTGCTTGAAGGTACTTAGCCTGGGTGTGTCCAGAGGTGTGAACAACCCAGGCTGTTGGTCCTTGCCTCAGTCCGTGGGTCATGGCACTAGGCAGCTTGGTGGATCAGGACCAGATCAGGATGTATTTGCTTCCTTTGCTTGTTTTAAATTGAATTGCATTTCAGTATTTTTCTGTAAGATGCTTTGGTTACCTTTTGGGAGAAAAGAAGCATACAAATGGCAAATAAAGAAATAAAAAATTAAATAAGCTAAGGGCTAAGGTCTTCAGAAATTGATTGAGCAAGTGAAGAAAATTAACCAGCTAGTTAGTTACATTAGATTTCCCCCCAGGTCCATTAATTTATGCCCTGAACAAGAGGCCTTTGAAAAATAATTTTAAAGCTAATCTGAAACTGGGCATTCTGTAGTATTTGCTACTGAAATTGGAAGGCACTCCTAAAAGTGGGTCCACATTTTGACCTGGATCACTAAACATTAGGTGGATAATATAGAGCAAGAAGCACTAGAATAACACATAGCCTGAATCTGAAAACAACCACTAGTTATTATTGTCTATGGATGCAGTGTGGCATATCTGTGATCACTTGTTGTTTGCCCCAGTCCACCATGGTAGCCTTTTCTGCTTTCCTCCCACTACCATCAAGCTTTTTAGAAAAAAATCAGCAGTTGATACAGCATTATAATGTTAGAACAATATATCTATTCAGGTTCCCTGAATTCATAGCTTTCATTTTAAAAAGTAAGTCTCTAGTCCTTGTGGAAATATGCCCTTTCCCTTTTATTGCCATAATGAAAGAGTCCAGACTATAATAATTTACAGATCCCTCTGATGAAGTGTTCGTGAAACATGGAGGGGGTCTTAGAGTGAATTAAAATTCTCCCACTGCACCGCTCGTCTCTTGTCTTTTACTCTGTGCTTAGTACAACCCTGCTTTTCTTGCTCCTTAACATAGGACTACCTCCAAAAAGGAGGACAGTGCTGTGCAAGCAGGAAAAAAAATAAGTTCCAAGCCTTAATCTTTTATGCTTTTTTTCTAAAAAAACCCCCAACAACCTCTTTTTGAATGTGCTGTGGCTTAACTGTGCTGTAAATGTACATTTTATGAAAATTTTGAAACCCTGTGCAATATATGTTATGCAATATTTTTAAAAATTAGACTCCCATGTATAGTGTATCACATCTAAACGTAGCTTTTAGCCCAGTAATTATTTTGGTTCACAACTACTAACTTTGGCATTTCTGTTTTTTCTTTTTACTTAGCACAGTCATGTGCATTGAAGACATAACAGTTGTCAGTGATGAAAGTAAGATTATCTCTAGTAATCTGGAAGGATAACCTGTTGATTTGGGGTGGGGGAATTAAAGTTTGTGCTGTAAGAGTGACCAAAAATGTGCTAATACTGTTTTTATGTTTACCATGGGAAATCTATTTTTGTGCTTTTGAACGGTATTTATAGGTTTTCTGTTCTTTACAAGATACATATGTTCCTGAGGTCAGAATTCAGGTCTGTGTCTGAAGTTTATGTTTCAGCAAAGGGAACTGAGGTCCATGGAAGCAAGTTTGGTTATAAATGTAATACATTAATTCAAGTGACATCTTCTAAATCCCCTTATGGGAGAGGACAACAAGTGAAAGAGGCTTTATTTAACATAAGGTTCTGAGAATTGTTGAAAATAATGTTTTTTATTTATTTTTTCTGATGTTTCTTCCCTTTTTTTGAGTTATTGATTTGTGTATGATGCAAATCTTGTATATGTTACATTTTGTTGATTAGTAGTTGTGTTTACAGGAACTTTTAAGTGAGAACACCATGACATAATAATTTATTAGGGGTTTCACTTGTATTATGTAAAGAAAAGCATGAAGTCGCTCTTGAATACAGTTTAGCAATCTAAAGTTAATATTGGGATGTTTTCCATTTTTGATTCTATAATGATAGATGCTTGTGCAGACTAATACTGGTTTTGTAGAAGTGGGGAATTTTACCAACTGGAGCTACAGTGGGAGAAAAATGGGGTGAGATAAAGGTTACTGCTGAGTTTGTAACCCAAGTCTTGATACAAGTGTTGTTTAATGTCAGCCTGTTCATCTTCCTTGTGGGTAAATCCTGTGTCTTACCATCCAAGATCACTTAAATTAGAATTGTTGGTGGCAATCCTGTGCACATTTAACATGGAGAAATATCTAGTGAGATTTGTGTGTAAAGGTGCACAGGCTATATAGTTAAACGTTAGTTTTAAAAAGTTCAACAGAACTGGGTGGTAGAGCTAAAGAAGTCAAATCTCTTGTTTGAATTCTGTGAGCATCTCTATATTCCTGTGCTAACTTGAAAATAGAGTGAGTGTTCACATTCACCTTGTTAATAAGTTGCTAATTGAGTATTTTAAAATTGTTTGTATTGTTAGTTTTGTTTTTCAATTTTACACTGAAGTTAAAGCATGATGCAAACATTGAGAATCTTTAGGTAAAAAGCAGGGTGCAAATTGGAAAGAAAACCCGATTTTTTCTGGTGCATCTTCCATTGAGTTCAGTGGATCTTAGTGTTACATATTGACTGATTTCTAATGAGGTAGCCTAATGAACATAATTGAGATGAAGGAAGGAAGATTAAACACACTTAGGGTGCAATCAGACGCGCCGTTTGATCTGGTGTTGTGACGGTTCAGCTTATATGCGTGAACACACGGTCAACATCTGTGCACCGTCGCTTTCCAGCTCAACCCCCCTTTAAACCAGAGTATTTTGCTGCCAGGTCCCCAAGTGGTGTTTTCCTGATTCTCCGGTTCTAGCCGCACTTTTCTGACGTCTCATCGCTCCTGCAGTGTCGAGCCACTTCCGATTTAAACCCCCTCCCCACTCGAAAGCTGCCTGCAATTTTTTAAATATGTTGGCAGTGTGCGCATAGGCCACCGTGTTTAGAAAACCGACATTTAAACGGTCACTTGTTTTAATGTTTAGATGAGTTCGGGATCTCACGGAGGCCATTTTCGGGTCAAACGTTTAAAGGGAAGTCTTTTGTTGGAGGGGTTGGATTGATTCACCCTGGTGGTTCTGCACATGCGCCATGATAGTTTCCCCCCTTTCTATGGAGGGGCGCCTATGCGCATGTGCAAACTGAGGGGGGAAATGTAAAAACCCGCCGACACACGCTCTTGCACGTCAATAGTGTAGACGTCGGGGAACGACGTGACTGCGTGGTGAGGCGGGATAAGGGAGGTAAGTGTGATCACAATTATCCAGATCAAATATAATCCGGTTAGAACTGGAGCAGTTTAACCCGCTCTCAGCACGCCATCTGACCGCACCCTTAGTGAATTCTGCCTTCCATTCTTTCCATGGGAATCCATGTATGCAATTTATTTGAGACATTTATATGCCACCTCTCTTAAGTCCTGCTCAAAGAGATGTACATGCTACATTTTTTCCCTCCAGAAGCTGCCCATGAAATTCTAAGAGTATTTTGTAACCTGCTTATGCTCAGTTAACCATTTGGTGACTTGGAGGAGCATATCTTTGTACCCCTTAGTGACCACAGCCTACAGAATTTGTGACACACTTTCCCTAAGAACAGTAATCGACTTTTTTATTAATTGGAGTTACCTCCAGTACATGAAGTTGGAAGGAGACTATCAAAGGGGTGGGTGGGGAGAAGTTCAGTCTAACCTCTGTTTCTTTTCTTTTAAGAATTCAGAAAGAACTTGCAGAAATTACATTAGACCCTCCTCCAAACTGTAGGTAAGTTTTACATGGATTTATTAACTTGAGATATATGTGAAAATTACACCAGAGTTTGGCCAATTTCAAGCTGGTTAGTTTGACTTTTGGTATAAAAGTTTGTAGTAATCATTTATAACTGTTTTCCCCCAGTGGCAAATACTTTTTTCCTGAATTACATTGGATAGGTGATAACTATCAAGTTTAAACTATTGTGATAATGATGTGATATTAGAGAAAACCAAATCAGATCCACATCATTCTGTTTTTAATGCTTTGATACAGTCTTCTGGCAGTAGTTGATGCGGGTTGTTGGCAAATAGTTGTATGTTGCATAAAAGAGATTGCATAATTTTAGGCTTTCTTTTTCTGGGATATGATCTTGTGAAAGCATAATAAATTGTTGGATATTGGTTGTGAATTTGGAGTTTGGCCATTTATGTTCATTTCCTGAATAATTTAACTTTTAAAACCTGTTGTACTGTATTTCAGCTGGTTTGTCGTTGCATTACACGATTGTCTATTTCAAACTATATACCTGCCTAGTTGACATGACTTCAGTGTTGAAGTTCAGCCAGAGTTATGCTTCAGGGTTTACTCAGAAGCTTGGTTTCTGTACCTGCAGCAATGGAAGCTAATGTTTTATTTTAGCATTTTAATCTGGATAACTTTATAAAAATATGCTTGTGATATATTAGGAAGCAAGAATGTAAAGGCTTCATGAAATTAGGTAAGAGATGCTTTTGGAATTAATTTAATAAGATACATTTGCAGTAAGAATGTACTTTACAGCTCTGGTTTCTACATAAAATATAAGTATGATACTGGAATGTTAAGTTTTGGAATTCTTTCTGGAAGAACAAAAATTATGTTAAATAAACAGAAGTATACAACAAATTTAGAGTCCAGTGGCACCTTTAAGACCAACAAAGGTTTATTCAAGGTATGAGCTTTCGTGTGCACGCACACTTGATAAAATACAGAAGTATAATCAAACTTGAAGTTATGTTGCTTGATCACTGCTGTTTTGTGTACCTTAGAGGACAAAAAACCTTTAAAATATATGAGCTTGTTGACTTGGACTATGGTAGAACTCTGATTCAAATTATTGGGTGGAGTGGTAGGACAGTGTGAACCCTGCTACTGTGTTCCCTGTGTTAACACGTAGGTGCTGACCGTATTTATTTGCACTGTATCACTCTTAGCATTTTCATCTCATTTTTAAAAGCATTCTGGTTGCTGATTGTATATGCCAGAGGTGTCAAACTCATTTGTTATGAGGACCAGATCTGACATAAATGTCATTTTGTCCTGCTGGGCCATGTGTGCCATAAAACATAATGCCAGGTACCAGAGATATAAACTTTATAAAGGACAGCAGCTGATAAGCTCTGAGTTGGTGTATCCTCACTGCAAGGCCTCATGGGCTAGAAGGGGGGTGCAAAGGAAAACCCATATGGGTGGACTGGAGAGCCAGCAGTAAAGCACTGGGCAGACACTCCCACGTGGTTTGATTGCTGCAGATGAGGTTGTTCCACCATGCTGAAGCCACAGTCGGAGTGGCTCCACCCATTCCGCCTGAGCAGTCTCCTGTTCCCTCCCTTGCACTAGTTGCTTGCGGGCCGCATAAGAGCCCCAGGCCTTATATTTGACACCCCTGGTATATGAAGTAGCAACAATGTTTAAGAGACAGTGAAATAAAGCACTTTCAGGTCTTATATGCAACTTTCAGGTCTTATATGCAACTTATGCTTGCTAGAAGTGAGGTTAGGTTTAGGCAATGAGTAATTATAGACGGACTTGAATACTATGCTTTGCTGTGATATGTGCTTAGAAGAAGCAGTCTCTCTAATGTATAATATTCATTAGTCTTGTTTATAAATATATTTTCAAGTATTGATTTTGAGGCTCAGGATCATTTTAATTTTAATCCCCTAGAGTTGATTTTATGAGGGTATTTGCTTTGGGGGACAATAAATACTAATGCTATACTATTGAAAGCTGATTGGGGTGGATTCTATTAGTCTATTGCAACAAAAGCAAATCAAGTATTGTGAAACCTTAAACTATCTGATTGTGGTGTAAGCTTTCACAGAGTGGAGAGTGCTAACATGATGTTACTTGAGTGAAAGTTTGTCATAATAAACCTATCAGTCTTTAAGGTGCCACAAGATGATTTCTTTTTTTCCTTACTAAAAGCTAGAATGAAATTATTGTGCATTCTTCTTGATTTTTTTACATGGGTAAGTTGCCACTCAGGTCACATGTACACATTTTTATACTGGTTTCTTGCTTGTGCCAAGATGTGAAGGCCCGGAAAAATACCGGAAAAATTCGGGAAAAAATGGTTTTTTCCCCGTTTTCTTCCTGAACCCTTTTTATTTTTTTCCGAAAAATTGAAAAAAGAAAAGAAAAAAAATTGATTATGGAACGTTTTATTTTAACATGATGAATAAAATATTTTAAGACCAGGTGTTCAAATATTTTCCAAATCATTTCTAAAATATGTATATATATATGGTATCAGATTGATGTAATTTCTGTGCACTGAGGACAAGCAAGTCCTAGGTTACAAACTGAACTCTCCAATGCAAGAACAAGATGCATTTCTTCCTTTAGGAGGTGCGATTGTCAGAAGAAAATAAAAAAGTTTCAGTTTTGTTTTTGCATGTGGGTGGGTATTCTGTAATAATTGTTTGGATATCTGGAAATTTTACATCTCTAGGTATGGCTACCACAGGAAAAACAATTTACTCCTATATTCAGAAGGAAATTTTCAGAAAACCAGTAACCGCAATGGGCACAAGCTTTATTAATTTAGAAATGTATATGCCATCTCTCCAGGGAACTGCTGATGGTTGTTAATAAGTTCATTTTTATCTGTTAGTTTGCCAAAGCATATTAATACTGCTTTTGCATGAAATTTAGGGCCCCCAAGGCAGCAAATAATCAAAAAGATTTTTAAAAAGATTTTATCATGCTCTACTCCCCCATACACTTGCACATAACAGTTTTTTTTCCTTGTAAATAATCTAAATTAACCAAGAGGATAACTCAAGAAATGCAAAGCCTGGTGAAAACAAAACTCATAGAGTGTAGGCAATGCTTTCTCACATTAACATATTTTGGAAACTCCAGGGGCTAAAGATTTTTTAAAATGCCACTATTTCTTAAAAGAAGGTCAGGGTGGTATATAAGTCTCCCCCCATTTTAACCTCACAGTTACCTTGTGAAGTAGGCCAAACTGAGAGAATGTGAGTGGCTCATGATTACCTGAGAACTTCACAGAAGTGGTGAGATTTAAACACAGGTCTTCCCAATTCTAGTCCAAAATTGTAATTATGACTAGGCCAGTTCATATGTTACGGGCAGGGGTCATTTCGTAGAAAAAGAGGTGCAAGAGCTCATTAGCATAACTCATTAGCATAACTTATTTGCATGTGCCACACCCTCTGACATCACTGGAAGTGTGTCAGAAGGCAACTCCCACCACTCAGGCTCCACTGGACTGTTTTGGACTGTTTTGGTGTGCTAGCTATTGGGGGGGGGGGAAACGTGCAGATCTGCCCTTGCAGAGGAGGGAGAGCTTGTACCTGAAAGAACCTTGGTCTTAAAGGTGCCACTGGACTGTTTTGGACCGGGGGGCCGGGGGGAACTCTGCAACTTACCTGGCTGCTTCTTGCTCTGACTGAAGGCTGCTGGGAGCAAGGGGTGGGGCTTGTTGCATATGCCAGAGCTCCACTCCTGTGCGCTCCTGCAGGAAATGACCCCTGGTTACAGGAAATGTGTGTACATCCGTTATGTACGTCTGTTTGTAAGAGCCAAGATGTGTACACTTCAAAAATAAAATAAGTGCCAGTACCTGGATGAACATGAAGTTTAAATTGCATATTGAGCTGTACATGTGTTGAAGGTAAGAATTACTCAATATCTGTACAAAGAAAAATCAAGTGTATACTGTACACAGATTGTAACGTGGCATGTGAACAGATATAGTAGTTCTCTACAGTGGAATCCTCAGCAGTTACTTAGAATGGTGTAAGTCTACTTAGAACGGTGCCTTATAATGAGCTTACAATTCTTTCATTTCAAACCTGACTGCAGTTGTTCAAGAAAGCTGGGGTACACATTTCTTACATGCCCAGAGTAATGCCGATTGCCGCTTTGGTGTCAGGAACGAATCGTCTTCTAGGCCTGATTGACCCAGAGATCCTGGAGGTTTTTTGCCTTCCTCTGGTCATAGAGCAGGGATCACGGGGGAGTGCGGGGGGTAGTTTCCACCACCAAAATTGTGCATTATCTATATTACAAGTTGAAGCACACACATTTTAAAATGTTTAGATTCATCTGTTTATTTGTTTTGTTGTTTACCATAAGATCCATTATTATATTCTCTTTAAGAGTGCTCTCAGGACAGAAAGACCGTGAATCGAGGTTCCATTATCATTCAACAGTTTTTTTGAATTTTTTCTATAAAGATTTTGCTTTGTCATTTCAAAAAGCACCTAAAGGCTTCAAGCTGTGGAAAGACCTACTGACAAACTCTTCTGATCTTATAATGGAAATAACTGATTTACAGATCCTTATATTCAGAATTACTAGACAGGTGGCCATTTGGGGGGGGGAAAGGGGCTCCCATGTGAGAACATGAATGCATATTTAATTTACTGTGGATCACCTATAGAGGGTAATTGCCATGTAGATTTAAAGAGCAAGCTTAAAGCAATTAAGAATTTTCTGTAAGGTGGGGACAAATCATGTGTCTCAGCATGGTCTGAAGGGACACTGATTTCTGGTTGAGATGGTGTCCAGCTCCTATAGCAGAAGAGTGTGTAGCACTTTGAGGTTTGCTCTGATATTTGACTAAATGCCTAATGTGTTTCTAATTTTCAGCTGAATAAAGTTCTGTTCCCAAAGGCAACTGTAAACTACTGTGCTTATTCTTCCACAAATCATTCCTAATTTTTTGCTCATCTTTGATATAGTCTTTATGTCTATTTCAGATTCAGACACCTTTAATG